CAAATACTTTCCCAGCCACAGAAGTTAAGCTCACATTTCTATAATTTCCAGGCAAGGTTTTTGAACCTTTTTTTGAATATAGGAAAAACATCTGCATTCCTCCTACAATTCTTGAAAGAAAATAATCTTGAAAGATTAAAAACAGAGGCTCACTTATTTCCACACTAAGCTCCTTGAGTACTCATGGGTGAAAACTGTCAGGCCCTCGGGTTTTGCATATATTAATTTTCTTTAGCTGCTGCAGTACCTTGTTTTGTTCTAGTCCCAATTTTTCTGCAAGTTTTTCTGCAGCAATCATTTGCATATCTCTAGCCATCAATTCTAAATTGTAACTAACTATTTCTCCTCAGTATATATTAAAATATATACTGAGGAGAAATAGTTATTTAAAATTTCTGACGTTTCCTTGTCTTCATTAACTAACAGCCCCATCCTAGTTTTCAGTGTACCTACATTTATTTTTTTTATTATTATTATTTTTTATTTTTTTATTTAGGTACTTAAAAAATGTTTTAAGGCTGCTTGCAGACCTAACCAGATGCCATTTCTTTAAATAACTTTCTTGAAAAAGCCCACCAAGCATGGGCAAAACGCGTTGATGAGCTGAGGATCCACTTTTAATTCATCTGCACTTCTCCGGAACAAGCAGTGACTTGCTGTGGTCTGAGATAACAGACTCCTTCCGGTTTCAACCATTATCATTGCAGCTTGAAGATACAACTGTCTACTGCTTTAGCTGCTTCAACGGAAGGGTAACTCTACTGCTCATCTGCCTACACTGGACTAATCAGTAGTTACAATTTTAATTTTATACCGCTTTTTGAATTTTTTATTATTAATTTGTGTATCTATATTTTTATTGCTACACAAAGATGTTTTTTTCTAATAAACTGGGTTTGATAATATCCCCCTTAGAGTAATTTCTACTAAATTATTACTGCAATACTAAGCTGTGGATTTTCAACATTATCCTATCCCTGACCACAGTATTAGGCACACAGTGAATTTGTTGTACCCAAGCTCATTTATTATTGGGTAGGTGCATAAAGTCTATATCTACAAGAATTTATGGTTTTATTTTATTAATGTTTTCCTTTTTTAACCATTAATGACAAGACTCTTTGAAGCGCTGACACTTTATTTGCAAAAAAAAATGGAAAATAATGAATGAATAGGTTGGGTGATGGAGAAGAGTTTGTTAGGAAAGATTATGGGAGCTAATGGAATGTGAAGTGTCAAAGAGTCAACTAGCAGAAGCCAGTTGCTTACTAATGGAGCTGCCTTAGTAGGGTGCGGGGGTCAAAACCATACAGAAGAGTGTCAAGAGTGTCATTTGTGGAGAGCTTCTCAAGAGGTTAAATGAAATCATCGCTAGCAGCTGTAAGTCAAAAACAAGGTTTAGTATGGTAGCTGATAAGAAACAAATGATCATTTAGCAAATTCGCTTTCAGTATGCCTGTGATTTTGAAACATCTGAAGGTGTGTGGATTTATGCCAATGTTTCTCTACAGAGACTATGACATTTTAATTCAGCGTATAAACATATACCTGTAATATCTCCACAAAACCCTCAGAAAAATTAACATTACCATTATGGTATTTACTATTGAGGTGGCTTCTTGAAAACATATTATGTAAATTATAATTGGTATGAAAATAGTTAAAACTCATAGGTAGCTTGTTGGTGATGGCCCAGAACATGTGAGTGTATACAGGACTGGATCTACCCTCCTTGCTGCCCCAACGCTAACTTTCCCAATGCATCCCCCGCCAGAAATGCAACCTCAGATGAACAACACATGACATATTACACCATTTCATAATTTATTTAACAAACAAAAAGCCAAAATGGAGAAGCCAATCCTAATGCTGACCATAATAGAAAGGTGTCAGAACACACAGTGCATCGCAGTTTGTTGTGTGGGGGTGAGTAGCCGCAGACTGCCCATGATGATCTGGACTATAGAGCAATGGGAAGAGGTTGCCTGGTCTGATGAGTCACAAATTCTTCTAGATCAGTTGGATCACTGGGTGCCTGTGCATTGTTTACCTGGGGAAGAGATGGCAGCAGGATGAACTATGGAAAGAATGAAGGCCGGCAGAGGCAGTGTTATGCTATGTGTAATGTTCAAGTGGGAAACCTTGTGTCCTGACATTCATGTGGATGTTACTTTGACATGTACCACCTACCCAATGATTTTTGAAGACCATATACACACCTTCATGGCAATGGTGTTTTCCTTGTTATATGTATACCGGTCTAGAGGTATATGATCACACATTAAATGTGCTGCCTTTAGCATGGCATTAAGCTCTGAAGATTCAAAGAATATCTAATGATATGCTTTCTGATTTTTCTTTCCTGTGAGGGCAATTAAAGCAGTTGAGCTTTTTTATGCTTTTTAGATCTTTTTTTTTTTTTAGTATCTTCTATTGTGTTTGATATTGGATAAAGCACCTTACCGCACTGCAGAAATTGTTCAGGAGTGGTTTGAGGATCTTGTTCAAAGAGTTGAAGGTGTTGCCTTGGCCTCTAACATTTCCCAGATCTCAATCCGATTCAGCATCTGTGGGATGTGCTTGAACAACAAATCCGAGCCATGGAGGCTCCACCTCCATACATGCAGGACTTAAAGGATCTGCTGCTAATATCTTGGTGCCAGATACCAAAGGACAGGTTCAGAAGTCTTGTGGAGTCCATGCCTCAATGCATAAGAGCTGTTTTGGCTGCACAAAAGGAACCTACACGATATTAGGCAGGTGGTTTAAATTTTGTGGCTGCCCAGTACATATACATATATTTGTAAAGTTTGGAGTATTTGATTGGATGCATTTACATGACTAGTTTAGGGTATGATTGAATGGTGAATGTGACTAGGTGGCTGGTTGGATTATAAATGGGACAGGGCTGGGATAGGATGTGTGTGGATGTGTGTGGATGTGTGTGGATGTTGAGTGTTTGGGGGATAGCTGCTTGTTGTGTTGCATTTTGGGGCTTTATTAGGGGTAATGGCTATTGTGGAGGTATAGGGTATGTAGAGGAGAAAAGGGGGCTGTAGTGGAAGGATAGGGGCAATAGTGCGGGCCCAGGGGCTATGGTAGTGGTAAAGGCATTGTAGTGAAGGGATATGAGCTGTAGTGAAGTGGTAATATTGGGGGGATAGTGGCTATTGTGGATTGATTTTAGCTGCAGTGGGGCTGTAGTGAAGGACAGTTGCCTTGGTAGGGGATAGGGGATGTAGAGGTAGCATAGAGGTTGTAATGGGGGGGGGGTAGTGGGAATTGTTGTGGGCTGATGGGAGAAAGGGATTGTAGTGGGGAGATGGGGACTGTAGTAGGGTAGAGAGCCTATAGTTGATGATAGGGACTAAAGAAATTTAAAAGAAAACATATTTATAAAAAATAAAAACTTGTTTTTAAATAACCGTATTCCATTTTCCCTAAAGTGCTTACTAGGAAAGAGAGGGGGGAATCTTGATCCCTGGTGGTCTGATGAGAGATGCAGTCATAGGCGTGCGCACGGGGTGTGCCGGGTGTGCCTGGGCACAACCTAATCCCCGTGGCACGCCTATGGTTTGAGTCCTGCAGGAACAGCGTTCCTGCACTTTTTTTGAGCAGGAACGCTGTTCCTGCAGGCACTCAGTGCCCCCTGTTTCACCTCTTGCCCCTGTCATGGGGAGGGCAAGAGGTGATGGATTCCCACGCCCCACTCAGCGCGCGGCGTGGGAGCTCTCTGCTGTCGGCTCTCTGCTCCCTCTCGCCGCGCGCTGATGCCGGGAGCCGGAATATGACGTCATATTCCGGCTCCCAGCTACAGCAGACAGCCCGCGCGGCGAGAGGGAGCAGAGAGCAGAGAGCAGAGAGCTCCCTCGCCGCGGCTGAACTGGAGAAAGGCGCCCGCCCCCACTGGACCCCAGGGAAAAGTCCACCAGCACTCCAGGTAGGAGGCTGGGTGGACATTGTTTTTTAAAATTAAAATATAATAATTTGTGTGTGTGTGTGAGTATGTGTGTGTGTGTGTGTGTGAGTATGTGTGTGTCTGTGAGTATGTGTGTGTCTGTGAGTATGTGTGTGTGTGTGTGTGTCTGTGAGTATGTGTGTGTGTCAGTGTGTGTGTGTCTATAAGTATGTGTGTGTGTCTGTGAGTGTGTGTGTGTGTGTGTGTGTGTGTGTGTGTGTGTGTGTGTGTGTGTGTGTGTGTGTGTGTGTGTGTGTGTGTGTGTGTTTCTGTGAGTATGTGTGTGTGTTTCTGTGAGTGTGTGTCTGTGAGTATGTATGTGTGTGTGTCAGTGTGTGTGTGAGTGTGTGTCTGTGAGTATGTATGTGTGTGTGTCAGTGTGTGTGTGAGTGTGTGTCTGTGAGTGTATGTGTGTGTCTGTGAGTATGTATGTGTGTGTGTGTACGTATATATATATATATATATACACACACACACACGCAGAGCCGGCGCTATCTGAGTGCCGGCTCTGCTCTAAGCCTTCATGGGCCGGCGGGGAGACCAAAGATCTACCTCACCGGCCCACAGCAGCATGGAGGGAGGCAGTAGAGGACCCAGGGAGCTCTAGACAGAAGCTCCGCCAGGTTCCTCTCGCGATATCTGAGCGTTGCTGCGGCAACGCTCAGATCTCGCGAGAGTTAACTCTAGCCCCGCAGGCTAGAGTTCACTCTCCACTGGACCACCAGGGATGGCACATGGCAGCAAGGATTTACTAATCTGCCAAATCCCTCCAAACATACAGCACACACACATACAGCACCTACACACATACAGCTCACACACACACAGTACACTAACCGCACCCTCACAAACACACACAGCACCTTTAAAAAAAACACAACACCCTCACACACAGCACACTAACAGCACCCTCACAAACAGCACCCTCACAGGACAAACATACACACACAAACACCCTCACACACAAACAGCACAGTCACAAACACGCACCCTCACACACACATCACACTAACAGCACACAGCACACTAACAGCACACACAGCAGTGTGTGTGTGTGTGTATATATATATATATATATATATATATACATATACACACACACACACACACACACACGCGCGTGGCGTGTGTTTGTGCTTTAGGGTGCACACCCTAATGCAATAGGCTGCGCACGCCTATGGATGCAGTATGTATGCACCTTCAGTGGGTGCAGACAGCTCCCTCCAGCTGTGATTCCTGCCATGGTCTCGGTAGCCTTGTGGTATGTAAGAAATGACTGTGTGCCATTTTTATAAAAAACAACAAATAAAGTAAAGGAAGTAGCATAGAGCCATACACAACCAGATCGTTAATTACCCAGAAAAAGAAACTCTACTTGTTGATAGTATACAGAAACCTTTGTACTCTGCAGAAATGATGAGTTCATCACTGCAATTGAAAAAATAAAAATGTTTCAAAAGGAAAAATATGTTGCATTCATCTTGCTGAATTGCTTTATGTGTCTGGAGTTTATCTTATTTGACAGTTTAATAAAGTGCTGATTTATGTCTCGATTTTAATCTTTTTGCATAAATGTTTCAAGTAATTTAATATTTTTGGATACACGTTGAAAATAATTTTCATCAAAATATTAAATTTCAAATAATATATCATATGTAAAAAAAAAATACATTAATTTATCAAAACATATTGAAGTATTAAAATATTTTTCAAAATATTAAATATTTTACAAAGGTACCCAAAACTATTTAACACATATGGAAAGCTTATCCAAAAATATTAAATCGCAGAATTAAATAGAATTCTGCACTTTTAACTGGGGGCATAAACAGTTCCTCGGCTGTCAATCAGACTGCCAAGGAGGTTTGCTTCCTCTTCCATTAGCTCCACGTTAAGAAGAATTGGTATGTCTCTCGTGAGTGTGCGTTGTCATGTTTTTATTTGGAATGTTTAGTGTACTAATCTCTGTGAATATTCCCTCAACAAAATTAAACTCAGGTCACAAATTCTGAGTTTGCTCTGCTGTTTGTTCTCCTTACCTGAGATGAGTCCACAAACAGGTGCTCTTTTGGGGAGTTTTAGAAATTTACCAGCACTAGAACTCTTCTAGGCTATCCCCTTGTATGATTCACAAAGAGTTGAACAGCTGGCCATTGGTCAAAAAGAAATTCGTTATAGTGTGTATTTTTAATTTTTGCAAAGTGTATACATAGCAATAAAATGGAATTTGGATGGCACAAGTATAACTTCACTTTGGTTTTTATGTTGAACATTCTGCATAGTCATAATCCCAGTTAGTATAAACTGCTGGATTACACTCAATCAAGAACATTTTTCAATGTTTACAAGATAAAGGAAACATTCACTGTGATGGATTGACTGGTAACATACAACAACTGGTGCTGATTCTTGTCACCTTCTCCATAAAAGAGTTATCTTTCACGGTATAAATCCTTTCCCTGCTGTGCCATCCTAATGTAGAGCCAAAACAACCACCCCAAGACTCTCAGTGATTCACAAAAGGCTCTCACAGTTATAACACTCCCAACCGGGGCTATCCAGAAATTTAATGGAACAGTGACTTGGATCACGGGATTGCCATGGCCTGTTCAATCTTCATTGGTAGCTCTCGACCCCAAGACTACCAAACAGGTTGTTATTTGGAAGGGATATCAAGGAGGTGATGAGGAGTGCAGGGACACCATGTACTCAGAGGAGCTCCCCCACCCCACACACACACCCTGCCATGCAATAACACCCTCCATTTCAACACAGTGGTGGAACTAAACTAGAGGCTCTGGTGCAAAACACTCTTGCATGGCTGACCAAAAGTTACATCTCCATCTGTCGTGTAACTCCAACAATGCTTTGACAACTGGTGCTCTACTGTTTTCCCATGGTTGCAGGGTTATATTTAGCACTGAGCAGTGTTTGTGTATTTAAATGTAAGCATGTTTTGTATGAAATATGTTTGTTTGTTTGTTTGTATGTTGGTGTTGGCATTTGAATACATGCATGCATTTATGTGTAGTGTTGTCTTTTGAATGCAGGGGTATATTTATATATACACACACTGACACATACAGATACATAGACACATAAACTGAAAGACATACTGACACACACAGAAACATACACTGACACAGACACACATACACACAGACATAGACAGACACATAGACAAACACACACAGACAAACATAACAGACACACACAGACAAAAAGAAGATGGTCCAGGCACTAAAGGTTCAGAAAATAAGCTGATTTATTGGGAGAGTGTACAGCAACGTTTCAACCTCCAAAGGTCTTTGTCAAACCAAAGACCTTTTGAGGATGAAAGGTTGCTGTACACTCTCCCAATAAACCTGTTTATTTTCTGAACCTTGAGTGCCTTGAACATCTTCTATTTTTCAACTATTGTTTGGGGTCTGGCCTGCCTCGGTTTAGCACCCTGGTTCACAGGGAAGTGCGATGTTCCTTTGTCTCATCTATAATTGACACACACAGACAGACATACTGACACACACACAGAGACACCAATGCAAAATTTACACTTTGGAGCCTCCTTCCAGTTTCCTAACTTTGGGATACAGTAGAATGACTTTCCAGGGGTCCAGTGAGTCAGCTAAGGAAGGGGCTTGGGGACTGCCTCTCCCTTCCTAACCTAACAACTATATTACAAAATCTAAAAGCCCATAAAAAAGAGATATGCCTTGTAGACATATGGACACTGAGTACTATATGCCACGAACAGAGACATTTAGAAGTAGAACCAGTGCAAAATCTAATCCATTTACATAATGTCATTGTCTCAATCTAAGAATAGGAAAACTTTAGTTATGTGCTGCCTGTAAACTGGAGATTTCACACGTCATATTGTTATAACGTATCACTTTCTGTTTTTCATTACTTGATGTTCTATTTTTGTCTATAAAGGAATTTGGAGATGACTTCAGTGTTAAATTTGTCATAGATAGTGAATCCCAGACCTGCATCCGGGAATACATTTATACAGTATGCTCTCAGACACCTTTTGCATTGTGTTTTACTAGTGACAGCTAAATCCAAAATCATGATCACATTTTCAGTAATTGATTTTTCCTGTGTTCTGTAATATTATTATATGCCGTGTATATATGTAGCTCATCTCTTTACAATATGTATACATCTTAGTGTACTCCCATCTTGATACTGTATATACAGTGCATTCAAAAAATAGTCAGACTTCTTTTTTTTTTTCCAAAATGTTTAATGCCTTAGGCTACAATTGTTTAAATGATTTATTTTTTTAACTTTTTTTTACAGTAGTCTACACTCAGAACCCAGTAATGGCTTTGCCATTCAAGGACATTTATAGAGTCAGTCGTTTTCCTGTAGGAAGTTAAACCTTTGGCCTAGTCCGAGGTCCTAAGCACTCTGGACAAGGCTTTCAGTAGGGATATCTATGTATGTTTCTGCATTCTGCTTTCCCTCAACCCTGACCATTCTCTCAGCCCATGTTTCTGAGCAACTCCCCCTAAACATGATGTTACCACCATTAGACTGCACCGTTGGACTGGTAGAGTGCAGGTGATGGATGGTGCCTGGTTTCCAATAGACATGATACTTTCAATTGAGACCAAACAGATACATTTTTATTTCATCAGATCAGAGTATCTTGTTTCTAACAATCTGAGAATCCTATAGGTGCTTTTTGCAAATTCCAAGCGGACTTTCATGTTTCTTGCACTGAAAAGAGGCCTGTCTCTGGGCAGTCTGCCATAAAGGTCAAATTGGTGAGTGTCTCAGTGATGGTCATCCACGTTTCTCCTATCTCCACAGACCTCATACAAAAGGGTTCTTGGTCACTTCTCACTTCTCTGACTAAAGCCTTTTTCCCTGATTGCTTAGTTTGGCCAGGTTCCCTTTGAGAAATATGGAGGCCACTGTGCTACTGAGAACCTTCAAAGAAGCCAAACATTTTTTGTAGCTTTCCCCAGATCTTTAACACAATTCTGCCTCTGAGACCTGCAGGCAGTTCCTTTGACCTCATGGTTTTGTTTTTAACTCTGATTAGCATATACAGCTGTGAGACCTTATATAGACAGGTGTGTGTCCTTCCACACTATGCCCAATCAGTTGAATTTGCCACAGGTGGACTCCAATCTAAAACATTTTGAAGATGATTTGGAGAAGTTTCATGCATCTGAGTTAAATTTCAAGTGTCATAAGAAAGGGTCTGAATACATATGTCAATTAGATATTTCATTTGTTTTTTCTTTGTAATAAATTTGCAAAGTTTTCACAAATCTGGCTTTGCCTTTACTATTGAGTGTAAATTGATATAAAAAAAAAAACCATGTTAGTAATTGTCTCATAAAACTGCAACATAATAAAATGTACAAAAAAAAATGAATGGGTCTGAATACTTTCTGAATCCACTGTACGGGACACAAAACCAGTGGTCATTACAAATTCATCTTAATATTAGTGATTTGAAAAGTTTTCGTTCTTGACCAATAGCAATTTTTTTTATACTTTTGATTCATAGTTCTATGTCTGAAATGTGATATAAATATAGTGCAGATTCTGTAAACATGTTTTCCGTAGGCACTCAGTCAAAAACGTTTCACGAACACTGTTGCTCACAGCAATAAATTACATTACTGAATTTCAGTAAGAAAAACAATACATTTTGAATTGGCACCGATACAGTAAATGGTTTGTTTTTCTTGGATAACATTATGACATACCTGGAACGAGGCACAATCTGTTTCATTATTAGCATGTCAATAAGAAGACTGACAGTATTTGGAAGGAGGATTCCTCACAAATGTGTTCCTTGTAGAAAATGCTAAACTGAGAGAATTGAGAATATCAGTATATTATTATTGCGCTCACTATTCACCAGATTTCATTTCATACAACAGATAGGGGTAACAATTACAGTCCATAATTTGAATTTAGCCCCTTAGTATCGAGCAATAGATCCTTCCATTGAATATGGATTTTCCAAGATGTGATAGTGGTTATGGGCGTGCTCTTTTTTAAAATATCCCCTGCCAGTACTGAACGATTGGGTATTGGTTCCTTAATATGAAGCTCATGTTCAAGGGAAGAGGTCAACCAGTCATTTC